GTTAGCATGTTTGGCATAATTATTGTGTATAAGTCCTCTTTCAGTGTCCTATTTAGGAGTAGGAGCTTTATGGTCTAGTGCAATTACCATCTGGTTGTATTCTCTACTTTAGGAGCAAGCCAAGCAGCTGAGAAAAAGGAACTGGGAAGCTTTGAAGAACATTTTGGACAACATGGCAAACGTCACATACCGCACCACCTGGTCTGAGGCCCAGCAGTATCTGCTAGATAACCCTACCTTTGCAGAGGATGAGGAGCTGCAAAGTATGAGATAATACAATGGTTTTAGTAGAATTAGAAGAAAAACATTTCTTATCAGGTCATTGTGCTTCTGCATGAATGTGTGTTTGTATATGTTCAGCCTACTGATAGTGCCGTTATCTGCTTACAGATATGGACAAAGAAGATGCCCTTATATGTTTTGAGGAGCATATTCGGGCTCTGGAGAAGGAGGAGGAGGAAGAGAAGCAAAAGACACTTCTCAGGGAAAGAAGACGGCAGCGCAAGAATAGAGAGGCCTTCCAGGTGAGAAGCAAAAACAAAGAATTGATGTCTCAAAAAGAAACAAAAAAAATGCGCTGCATGTAATTTTTCACATTTAATCTGGTTAATAACAGTTTTAATATAAGCCAAAAGAAGAGGCCACATGTACTTTCCCGATCCTCATCTCTTCTTGTTGTTTTCTCAGAAATTTCTGGACGAGCTTCATGATCACGGCCAACTTCACTCTATGTCTGCTTGGATGGAGATGTACCCGACACTGAGCTCAGACATCCGCTTTGCCAACATGCTGGGCCAGCCGGGTAGGACAGCGGGCCACACGCACACATGTCTGCATGAGCTGAATGTGACAGTCGGACTTGAATCATAGCATAAACACTGAAATAAAACATTCACAACTGACAACATAAACGATTTATGAATCACAGTTTAGCTTTTTGAGGTTATTTTCTTTTAATTTCCATATTTTTTCCTTTTTAATTTTCATACTTATTCCGATAATACACTAGTCTCTAAATCTTTAATTATTTGGCTTCACTGTTTTGCACCCTTGTTGTGGTCCATTGATGCTGTTGAACCTTGTTTATTTGCTGCAAGGATCAATATTTACACATTTTTAAATTTAATGTTGTTTGTTGCGCAGGTTCCACTCCCCTGGACCTCTTCAAATTTTATGTGGAAGACTTGAAAGCACGCTATCATGATGAAAAGAGAATAATCAAAGATATTCTTAAGGTATTACTCTAACCTCATAAAATGTTATTTATATTTGGTATTTTTAAGGAACAGTTCGCACTCGTGCACCTTCCTTGCGTTGATCCAATTATATATCTAATAATTATCTGATGTGTTCTTTCCCAGGACAAAGGATTCCTGGTTGAAGTCAACACCAGCTTTGATGACTTTGGATCAGTCATCAGCTCGGATAAGAGAGCTACCACGCTGGATGCAGGAAATATAAAGCTAGCCTTCAACAGTGTAAGACTCCAGCTCTGCATCATATGCTTTGAGTTGGCACCTGTTCGTAAACATTAATGGACACAAATATTGATATTAAAGTAGGGTGAACTGTTAAGTAGCTGACCCTACAGCAGCTGGGTTTAATCTATTAAATCAGCATAATAAATGTAAAACAGGTCCCAGTTTAAATAACCAGCACCTCTCCTTCGCTTAGAGAGCTTTACGTTTTATCCTGTTGTTAGGTGTTAAAATACGTTCATCATATCCATTTGAATTAATAATTATTTTAAAACTCATGTTAGATCTTTCCACACAGTTAAAAGTGATCTCATCAGTTCTGTATCCACATGTAATCCACCTATCCCCGTCACAAGATGTGTCAATGCTGAGCCTACTTGTTTCTACGGCCCCCAAATAAACAAAAAAATGTTATTACAGATTATAAAATTATGGAAAAAGGAGAATAATACACCTTTCAGGATAAACAGGCCCAAATCAATGACATTTTAATGAGTATACATAAGCACAGGCCTTGACCTGCTTGTTTGAGGATGTATGCAGGTTTGAATTGGCTGTAAGTGTGGATATGGTGACCTTTCCTGGGTGTACCCCACCTTTTGCTCTGTGCCCTGTCCCATCTGAAAGACTTCACTTGGGATGAAAGATGTGTGCGTTGAACCATGGCTGTTTGTTGTATTTCATTATAAGATTAACTCACTTAGAAACCCTTTTTCCTAATTAGTTGCTTGAGAAAGCTGAAGCCAGAGAGAGGGAGCGAGAGAAGGAGGAGGCCAGGAAGATGAAAAGGAAAGAAGCTGCTTTCAAGAACATGCTGAAGCAGGCCACACCGCCACTGGAGCCAGAGACTACGTGGGAGGGAGTATGTACTTTCAATGCGGATCAAATTCGTGTGTTTTCGCAACACAGTTTATTTTCTGTTTTTATCCTCATCCCTTTTTTCCAGTCTTGATTGTGTTTAATGTTTCCTGATAACTGAAATTTTACCATTTCAGGTCAGAGAGAGGTTCCTAAAAGAGCCTGCCTTTGAAGACGTGACTCTTGAGTCGGAGAGGAAAAGAATATTCAAAGATTTCATGCATGTCTTGGAGGTGAGTCATGACGCTAGCAGGGGCATGAAGTTTTTAAACTTGACGACGACTATAATGATGTTTAACCTGGTATTTACTTTTTATTTAATTTAACAGCATGAGTGCCAGCATCACCACTCGAGGACCAAGAAACACTCAAAGAAGTCCAAAAAGCACCACAGGAAGCGCTCCCGCTCTCGATCAGTTAGTACCACCACAAGAAAATGAACATTTTATACACTTAAATCACAGATCAAATGTTTAAAAAAACATGTTTTTAAAAAAAAATACTTTTCTGCCCACTGTTTTAGTCAAATACAGGGTTTAACTGAATGCACATCATTCCATTCTGTATTTTATGTAAAGATTTACTGGAAAATGATGTAGCAAAGCACACTTTACAAAAAGCATTGCTCATATCATGCGCTGCTAATCTGTAATGTTTTAATAGGGCTCCGAGTCTGAGGATGAGGAATACCACAAGAAGAAAAAGAGGTCACAGTCCAAATCCCCCTCAGAACGTTCATCTAGTGGAGAATCTGGTGAGTGTTTTTACAGCTCCGATCAGTTGATTTGTGTATCTAGGAAGGGAAAAAGTGCCACAATGTGTGTTCATTGACATGTTCTACCTGAAAACAGAGAGAAGCTATAAAAAATCCAAGAAGCACAAGAAGAAGGGCAAGAAGAGACGCCACAAGTCTGTAAGTGTGCAGGAAGAAACAAATGTGTGCGCTTGATGTCTTAAATACAAATGTACTGGCAACACTGGTGTGTGCACTAACTGTAATTATGACAAACAGGCGTCTCCAGATTCTGACAACGAGAAGAAAGGAAGAGACCGTGATGGGAAGCGAGAAAAGGAGGTAGAGAAGGAGAAAGAGAACGACAAGTCTCGGGGGAAATCTCGCTCAGAGTCCAAACAGAAATCTCCCAAAAGGAAAGCAGCCAAAGAGGAGGTGAATGTTACTATTACTATTATTATTATTATTATTATAAAAAATTGCCCCTATATTGTGAGATTAGCTGGGGGGCTCAGGTCAAAGTCAGTGTTTTAAAGAAGTCTCGAGCGTATATGTTAGCTTACAGTTTCTAGCATGAGATAAAGGTCTTGCGGTTAACTAGTTATTTAAAAAGATCAAATTTTCACTATGACTGAATCTTTGTATTTTTTTAATGGTGCGTTTAAGGGTGGCTGGGACACGTCGGGCAGTGAGCTGAGTGAAGGAGAGCTGGAGAAAAGGAGAAGAAACTTGCTGGAACAGCTGGACGCACCTTGATAATAATTCATGCTGCTCTCTCCTCTCCAAACATGCATTCCCCTTCAAGCTCATCTGACCGTGCTGGTCATACGCCCATAATGGACTGATTTGTGGTATTTATGGGAATGCCATATACTGAGCTTTTACATAGACTTTGACTAATTTCATATCAGGAAACTGATCAGCTGTTAAATACTGAGTTGTTTTTTTGTTAGCTTACCTTTCTTCAGTTGGCTGTAGTTATACATGTTTTCCATTGACATTTTTTTTATATTCACTTAAAAGCATATCTTTATGACACACTGCAAATGTGTAGAAATACAAGAAACTTGTCCACATGTCCAGGAATACTGGGGGTTACGTCTGATTTGAAGTAATTTAACTGCAGCTGGTTTGAATGAATGAAAGGTTTTAATTGGAGGATTTGCTGAAATCGATACTTTAGTTAAATGTAATAAAACAGTTTCACTGGAAGTTGTCTGCAGGTGTTGCTTTGACTTACTTAGACGATAAATTGTTGCCAAACCTTCCAAGATTATAGGATTGTTGCCATGCTGTTGCAGATTTACAAATAGCCAACAAAGAAGACTAATGGGTGATGCCATTGTTGGTTTATTAGGAACACCTATGCTGTCTAATGTTGTCTCAGTCTTTGCATTAACCTTTTGATAATTTTCAGGGATATAGTTTGCATTGCATTGCAGTTGATTTGTAGTATTTTTTAATTCTGGGAAACAAGTGGTCCAATATTGATATTCGGCAAACATTAAGTGGGTGAATATTAACTCCTTGTGTTGCGGAAACACAAAATTACATCTATTGCTAGTTATTGGTAACACTTTACTAACACAAATGCAGCCATAACCACTTAATGTATCTTTCTGCTTATTTTAAGGGACAGAGTTTGCATTGTGGTTCAGTTATGGTGTACTTTACTACTGGTTAATATTCAGTCACTGTCCTAAATATGAATAAGTCAGACAAACACTGTGTATGGACTGTAACTACTTACAGTTTAAACACATAATATAAGGTTGAATTGACATTGCTTAAATAGAACAAATGGAGAAACACTGGTTAGCTTTTTAATGTGAGGTTCTGCTCTTGGCAAAAAAACAAAAGCTACATGAATGCATCTGCACTCACGAACTTATATTTTCATCGTTTTGACAAGAATCAGACAACAAACCACAGAGAGTAAAGAACTTTATATTTAATGTAAATAGTTTATTTGAACATATTGAAAATCTCATCACCTAATTTAAAAATTGTTACTTTGTTATAAGCACAAACTGCCTAAAATACATTTCTGGTGAACGTCCAAGAGAAAAGCATGCTGGTAATATCCAGTTCGAGAAGTTACGCTGCCACAGACAGTGAAGTGCAAAGAAAAGGAGCCGATGGCGTCACATGCTTCAGTGGAGACAATGAACAGAACTACTTTTGATTGTTAGTGTAGCCATTAAGTTGGCGTGTATAAACATCTGCACATCAGAACCTTTTCCAGACTTTCTTTGTTTTTATGCACCTCTGACACCCTAACAGGTAAAGTGCGTGACCCCACTGCCGTCTGCATAACAGTAAAAGATGATCAAACACACTACTGTAGATTTCTGGCTGAATTTGGCTTAATTAAATATACAAAAATGGGGGGAAAAACTAAGTTAAAATAACATTCAAGCTGTATAGCACAAGGCAGGGAAAACTTCTGTTTAAACAATATGTACAATATTAACCATCTGGTGATGTGAATTAGGTAAAAAAAAACAGTTTGTAGCAAAATATCTGTACATTTAGGAAACTTTTTATGTTGTATACTTTTGTTTTGCCCCGTTTTAAAACACACATTAGATGACGACATAAGCTTAAATGAATCTTTTAAGTGGTTAAATACTATACATTAAAATTACAGTAAAGCGAGTAGACTCGGTGACCTGGAATGTTGTTAACCTGTAAAACGCTCGCAGAAGCACGACGTTTAGTTATGTCCAGTTCTGACAATAAGATCATCCAGTAAAGTTTCGCATCTTGCGTGCAGTTTCTACCCCCAACAGAAAAGGTATTCGGTTTTCTTGCTCTGCATAATTCCTTCCACAAAACCAGCTGTGCAGCTACAGATATGCACAACTTGAAAATAAGTTGTTTTTTAATGGATTAGAAGCTACAAATTCAGCCCTTACTGATCACTCGTAATAAGACATGACAGAAGAATCAGTATGGAGATACCTGCTATAAACAGAATTCACATTAAACTGGTCTTTATTTACCTTTATAGTTGCTTTAGTACAAATATAGAGTTCATACCACATTAACAGCCCTTTAATAATTTGAGAAACCCTCATGAGATGTAAAAAAATTTTTAAAAAGTGCAGGTTGAGCATGTTCATGTTGTTAGAGGAGCGGACTAAAAGGCCGTAACAATAATATTTGTAACAGCTAAAAAGAGAACCCGTCCTGTACATTCTACATCTTTCCCCACGTAACGCCATTTCACGTGGCTCTTAAGGCCACCGCATGTCCAGTTTTACACATCTGAAAAATTAAAGCCAGGTCACGTTGTATTGCTCAGAGTGGGATTATTAAGAACAGTCATTAGGCAAACACGGCAACGTGACGTGAAACCACAAAAAAAACAACAACAATAAAATTCAGGCACTTGGCTCGTCAAAGGTTTTTAAATCAACCTTTCAGACACTTTAAATTCAGTCCCATACGTGTCCCAGTCCTTCATAGTGAAATGCTGCTAATACTATAGCACAAATGTGGAATATTGAGTATTCTTATGTAATATATATACATAATCATCTCACATGTTGCTACAAACACCTGACTTTCACGCGTCATCCTTCACTCTGCTTCGATCTTTTTGTCACTCCTTACTCTCGTTCTCTCTCTCTCTCTACCCCCCCAATACCTTTCTCCCTTCCCCCCATCCCCAGCCCTAGCACATGCACTATTCCCTCGTCACATGACTACGTCGCCATTGTTGACCGGCCGCAGGTTCTGATCATCAAAGCGTCTCCTGACACTCCTCCGTACGGCGTCCGCTCTCCTGTAAGGCTGATTCCTCAAATCTGAGATAGAAAAGAAGGGTCGGGGATGGGCATGGATAAAAAGATGGTGTCAGGCGTCTTCATCGGGGTGTTTTGATGAGCTCACATGTTCACAGTGCTGGCAGCCTGTCTTTCAAAGCAGTGTGATGTCTACACAAACAACAGCCAAACAACCTGTCTTTGGTTTTTAAACATGAGACAGTCCACAGAATTTTTTTTAAAAACCTCTGCCAGAAATCTAGGAAATCTCTCATGCATATTGTGAATGCATGAAAATGTATCTTTTCTCTACAATAAAGCCAAAGCGACAAGTGAGGAGAGTAAGGTTATGTGCTAATCACTACACACAGAAACTTCCTGCTACAAAGGAGCATTAATGAGTACATCGATGAACAGAAGTAGGTCAATGATGAGTGGACTTGAAATGAAAGAAGTATGACAGAAACTGAGGTAATAAAGAGATGCTTGCCAGGTTTGGGGCACATCCACTACAGGGGTGCTACTGGAGGAGTTCCTTACCCTCGAGTAGACATTGGGAAATTTAGTAATATTATTCTTCTTTAGGGCTAGATGAAGAGAAGACAAAATGAAGGTTAAAAATGGAGAAGGAGGCTGACCGGTGCACGTCAGCCAAACAATTCACACTGGCTTTACTAAAAGAGCGCTGCAAGAGCCAAGCGGTGTGGCAGTAGGCTGGATGTAGAAAAGCTAGAGCTGGGTAAGGACACGAGAGAGGACAGAGCTAGAGGTTGTTAACTGTTTCAACTGGCAGAGGAGGGAGGAGGGAGTGGAGAGAAGGATAAAAGCTTTTTCTTTCTCCTTGTTACTAGACCCAGACTGCTTTGCAAAGTGGCTACCAGCAAGGTGGAAGAGAGCCCATTTCTACCTTTCTGTGCAGCACAACTGTAAACTGAAACAAACACAATTCATCACCACCAAAAAAACAAAACACTGAAGCATGCATGCAGCCAGGGAAAAACACTGACAACCAGTGATTCAAACACCTCAAAACCTTCAGTGAAGCAACCTGGTTGCATGTTAGTAGCACACACAAACTCCTGAAATGCACCAGATGATCTATATGCACACACCATGCAGAATAGCAACGAGCCTGACAGACCACACCGAGTCACCGAGAAGTGACCCAGAGTGGCAAAGCGAGCGTGGCACATGGACTAACTGGGAGAGCAGGGGGTGCAGTAGGAGCAAGCAGCAGGGATGAAGCAATCAGCATGCACACAACTATGAACATGTGATAATGACATGTGATAGTGAACAAACATGAATTTTGAATGAAAACACTCTTTGAAAACACACACAAAAAAAAGCAAGGTATAATGCCACAGACACTTCTACATCATACCTGCTGTGAAGATGATGACCTTAGCTTGTATATTGCAAGATGTAGTGCGACATGTTAATGTCAAAGTGACCCAATTAGAGGCTAAGAAGAGAAAAACTTTTTAAGTATGTTCATAGCTCAGTAATTGTTTTTGAGTCTTGGCCACTAGATGGCAGCAGCCAGCTTAACGGCGTTTCTTTACTTCTCAGCACTCTTAAAGTCCAGATTGGAAACTGCTCTCTCTGTGACATTATGGTTTGCTGTATTTGATAAAACAATGATGATCAATGTGGGTGTCACACTCCATGCATTTGTGGAAAGAAAACTGTTACCCCAGCACCTTATGATGGTCAGTGAGGGAGAAAATGTGAACACACGTGGGGTGAGGGAGAATTGTTTTGAAAAAGACAAAAAAAAAAAACAAGAAACACAACACCCGCACTCGGGCATGTCTCCAGGGCTTGTCACAGTGCACATGCACAGGTCCGAGGTGTGAGAGGTGAGCGTAACTGTTAAAGGAGAATCGTGGGGGGGGGGAAAGGCATGCAGAGGAGGAAGGAGAGAAGGACACCAAGAAGAGAACTGTTTGTTTCCAGCAACCTTTGAGAAGATAGAGAGTTCTACAAGCTTAGTAATGGTACTCCTCATTGAGAGCGGACTCGCAGAAGAACCGAGAGCCACGCTTGGCTGTGCGGGCGGTAAAGGGCACGGTCTTCAGCACTGCATTGGAAACGACAGGGACAACAGCCAAGACAAAACAAGACAAATACAATGTAAGAAAAGCAGACTCCTACAGGGGTTTAGCACTGGTTAGCACTAAGCAAAATACCCAACAACACCATCTCGATGCAAAGGCGAAGTCTTTTTTTAAAGAAGGTCACAGCGAATTCTACGGCCGAATTCTCCCAAAAACAGATGATATCAAGGTTATACTGTTAAGGAGACATCAGTAACATTTTACTGTTATAGCTCTTTGATAATGAGCCAACTGTCACCACTTTATCTTTAAAGCCTGGGTTGTTACTGTTACAATCCATTAGATGTTTTGTATTTTTATAAAAGTAGCCTGTGTTCTGTAGAAACTATCTAACATTTCTCTCTAAAATGTAATTAAATATAAAAGATAAAACTAAATACTTAAAGTTCATCTTTTATTGCTGCTTCTCAGAACTTCTGTTTGCCAGGGGCAGCCAATCAGTAGAGAGATGGCTTAAAGGGAGGTTGGTGTTAAACTGAACTGAAGAGATTCAATGAGGCCTAGTTTAAGCTATACAAAGACTATAATAAAAGCTAGAGTGCCTAAAAAATACACTGAAGCTTACTTAGGTACTGAACTGAGTTAATACACTCAGTTGCTCGAGTTTACTCAAGTTTTATCTCCCCTCAGTAAACAAAGGGTGAATTTCATCCCTAAGTTTTTATTGCTGGAGATAGTCATATCCGGGATTGCCTATGTACAGATGGTGTTACAAAGCAAAGACAAAGCAGATAAGCCACGATGAGACACATTTGAGTTGAACAGATTGCCGTCAGTGCATGTTTGGACTAGTCAGGTATTACCTTTGGTTCTCAAGAACCTGACAGTTGAAACTTAAAAGAGCCAAAGTCATTGTGTTAGTTTTGAATCCTTCTGTTAATGACTGCTTTTATAGCAGAAAAGGACCTTCATGCAGGGCACCAAGTGTGTGTGTGTGTGTCTGTGTGAGTGTGGATGTGTGTAAATATGAGTTTAGCCACAGACTGTAGCCACGTGATCCGGGGGACGTTACCCGTAATGATGTCCTCGATCGCTCCGTCTTTGCCTTCGTAGACGTGGCGACTGTCTTTCACCTGTTTCCTTCTGAGCTCCTGGATCAACTCCTGCTGCTGCCTCTTGCTCTTATGGGATGGAGACTGAGGAAGACACAGGCACATAAAAGTGTTACGGCCAGTAAGTAAAATATCTTCGACAAAGGATTCTCCCACTTGTAATTTGTTTCAGCTCAAAAAATGCCTCGGTTCATTCAGGCGTGTGTGTGAGTTAATTGAACCGTTCAAGTCGTATAATCGCCGATTCTGAGTTGATGCGATGTGACTCAGCAGGGCGTAAGACTGCAGAACTAGATACAAGCGCGCCCAGCAGGCAGTCGGCACTCAACTAATCCTGTGATCAAGAGTCTGGAGGAAATTAGGATGAAGCGGAAGGGGAGGAAGTGGAGCTGTCTTACCTTCTGGTCATTGTTATCCTCTGTAGACTCCTGTCCTAGAAAGTAGGGGGTTGGGGATAAGTAGAAAAGGGTAGTTGGAGAGCTGGGAAAGGAGGGTGGGAGGTGGGGTGCTTACCTTCTGGTCTTCCTCCATCATGGCTTCTTGCTCCATAAGTTTTTCCAGCATAATCTGCTCCTGTCTTTTCCTTTGCTCATTGTCCTCCTCCGCTTGCTGAGAAGATTTCACATTCATGTTCAAATTCAATTCAATTAAATGAAGTGAAGACTACTATTTATCATGTGTGTTTTGTCTGTTTCTGTCCAATGTGCGAGACTAATATCCAACTCACCCTGTAGGCCTTAACAAATCGCACAAACACAGGGAAGAAGACTGATGGCGGTGTGGTTTTGGCATTCTCGCCGAAGAATTTCACCACCTCATCAAAAGCATCCTTAAAAAAAAAAAAAAACAAGAGCAAAAGGCACAGATATCTGTCAAATGAAGTAACACAGACTCATTGCCTGCACTGTATGTGGACCAATCACGTTTGCATGCAAATACATGCCCCAGTGTCTGACAGCGAGCCACGAATCACCCTTTTACCTGTGCGATCTTGGCATCATCCTGCAGCTTCTTTAGCTTGCTCTCATTGTGTGCAATGAACTCTTTGAGCATGGTGTTGTGGCCATGCATGCTGTATTCTCTTTTGGTCAGCTCCATGCCTCTCTGCAGCTCCTTAACATCCAGCAGGACGTTCTCCAGCGACACTGTGAACACAGAGAAGTTTAGCTTACATGACACAAACCTGTACATGTAAAGTGTGTAGCATCTTCTAGATCTAAATCACATTGTTCTCCTGTGGGCTGTAGTGCAGTTTGAGCATCTAGATTGTTGTGGCATGAGTTGTCTAGCTTTCTACATTTCTGCCATTTTCTTTCTATTCCCTTACTCTCACAGTCAGATACATGCATGGAGTAGATTAACTTCTTCTTCCAACTGCTCCCTTTAGCGGTCGCCACAGTGGATCATCTGACTCCATCTCACCCTAATCCTCCCATCCTCCACTGTCACACTAACCCTCTGCATGTCCCTCCTTCACTACATCTATGAATCTGCTCTGCGTTCCCTCCTGCCTGGTAGCTCCATATTCAACATGGTTTGTACTTTATATCCAGTCTCCCTCCTCTACACATGTCCAAACCATCTCAGCCCTGTCCCGTACTCATTTTTAATCTCATCCATCCTGGTGGTCGCTCCCACTGAAAATCTTAACATCTTGCGCTCTGCTTTTGTCAGTGCCACCATCTCCAAACCGTACATCACAGCGGGTCTCACTACCATCTTGTAAACCGCTCCTTTTACTCATCCTGCCATCCTTCTGACACTCGTTTCCACCTGCTCCACCCTGCCTGCACCCTTCTTCACCTCTCGTGTGCACTGTCTGTTACTTTACATGGTGGACCCCAGATATTTAAACTCATGTACCTTCACTACCTTTACTCCTGTTACACTTGTCTCTATTCTAAATTGTCCATATGTGTGAATCACCCTATCATAGACAGCTGACCTATGCATGGTGCCTTTCACCCTAAAACAGACTACAACTCACATCTGCACAGGTTGGCAACTCACACTGCAATAATCTAGATTCTAGATGGATAAATTGCACCGCCGGCTAGAGAAAGAAATACACAATTAAATTCTGGAGTTTATTCCAAGAGAAACATGATAAGATTCTGTCTGTTTCTCACTGACAGACGCAGTCAGATTATGCGCTGTTCACTTCCGCCCAACTTAACTTCACTGTACGACTCACCTGCTGCAGCTTTCTCCACATAGTGCATCTCATTGTAGAAAAGGGAAACTTGTGTGTATTTCTCTCTAACCACATTGGCTATGTAGTGTAATAATGTTTGTTTCCGGTCTGTAGACTTGGTATCAAGTAGCTGCAAAGAAAGAAAACACAGACATGTTGAAACATTTTCTAAAAGTCTTTAAAGTTTTGCTAAAAGGTAACAAAATGCAACTTACCAAGTCTAAACTCTGCAGCTTGAATCCATACACCGCTCCTCTTTTGCTGCTGTTCATGTAGTTTCCAAGAGCTAAGATAATCTGCAGGACAGGAGCAAACAAGAATGAAAAAGGAAACCACGCATGCATTTGACACGATGCGTCATAAGGGACGCAAATGGTTCCGTTACCTCTAAAATCTTCTTCAGTTTCTGTGATGACTTGATGGACACAGATGCTGCAATGACTGCATGCAGTTGCTGTGGGTGAGAATGAGACATCAAATCCAGCACAGCGCTGTTGCTTTCTAAGGTTGCAGCATAAAAACATTAAGAATGACAACGTAGCGTCGTTATTCACCGGTGTAAGCATCTGCACGCTTTCGGCGAAGTTGCCGATGAAGGCCATGATGGTCATCTTCTGCATGAGCCTCTCGATCTTACTGAACTGCATCATGAAGCGGTCCTCATCCGTCAAGCTTTCGAGAGGCTTGCGCTCCTTCTCGAACTGTCGCAGGACTTTAATCTCGTTCTCCGTGGGCTGGAAGCGCATTAGACACTCCACGAAGTCCACCGGCAGAGTCCGTAAATCAAACCTGGACGATGAGGAGACACAAGGACACGTGTTATGAACCATTAGTCTATTTTATAAGAAAAACAGGCATACAGCTATGTGAGTTTAGGAAAACAGACTGCATGCAGGAACACCAGTTGAAGGCTTACAGTTGAATGGCTTTGCAGATCTCCTCGGGTGTCTTGCCCACTTTCCTCAGCGTGATGGCCAGGTTCTTTGCCCTGTTGGAGTCCAGCAAAGTCACCTTGTTGGGTCCCTTCTGGATGACCTTCTGCTTGCTTGCAGTGAGGTCGATGGGCGGGCCCTGGGCTTTCGTCTTAAACATCTCCTCGAACTCATCAACATTCAGGTCCTAAAAAGCAACAGCAGTCAATTCGTGATTCATTTTCCTGGGATATAGGCAGGAAACGGATGCGTAACCTCTGAATCAGCGGAGAACTTTACCTCCAGTATCCTCTCATCATCAATCTCATTGAAAACAGTCCCGTTGATCTGGTTTGGTTTCAGGGCCACCCAGTTGAAGACGGGCATACGGAACTTGGTCTTTATGGGTTTCTTGATCTTAACAGCTTAAACAGAATACAGACAAGTTAGCACAGGGTGTCTATCTACAATCAACAGTTCACATAAGCATGCAGGTGAAAGGGTAGACAAGTACCTGGGACTGGTAACACACATGGATATGACTCTCTGGGTAGCTAGATGCCATATCTGTCTAATCTCTAAAAACAAAGTCCCACTTTGTGTTATTTACATGAACTAAATGCTTTCTGTAAGCCCTTCAAAATAAAACAGAAACTACGCTGCCTTGTATGTATTTTTTCCCCAAATAGAGCAAAGCTTCTTAGCCTTTGGCTGGACAGTAAAGGCCAAAGGGGATCGGTGTACCTGTTAAGTAAACGGTGTATGCGGTAAGCCTGATGACAAACTATTTATTGGACAGATTATAGCTATTTGTAGCCACCACTGCTGCTTCATTGAAGCTGAACATTGACATGGTGCCCTGATTCCCCACACGGACAAGGTGTCAGCAGGGACAAATAAGATAAGGCCGTCATGGGAAAGGTAAACAGCATTCCAGTATGCACGGCGCCTATCGCTTTAATCATCTGCATGCCACAGCAGGTCACTGTGCCTCAGCATGCACTCAACTCTTTCTGATGTTGCCAGATTTCATTCAAATAAACACTTAAACAAACACTGGAGTAATACTGCAGAAATGTGGAGATTGCAGTGTTTTTCAAGGGAAAACTAGTTGGGGATGTGTTGCTTTATATAGCATGTTGGCAAGCGCACGTTAATGAAAATGGTGAAAGAAGACAGAAAGTGTTTGAGAAACGTGAAAATACAGCATGAATACAGCAAAGAGGTTTGTGTTTTTAACTGGGGAAGTGAAATGTGGGACACTAGAGGGAGGGGTGGGGACAAAACAGCAAACACGACAAGCATAACCTACAGAAGAGTTTGATGGGTCCCTCTGGTCGGCAAAAAAAGGAAACAATTATAAGACAAATAAAAAGGAGGGTTAGTGAGAATTAATGCACATCTCAAATCACACAGTACAGTATAGAATCTGCTCTCCGAGGGGGAAATATTTACCCCCATCTACATACAGTAAGAGCTGATTAGTGACAGAACTTAGTCATCAAGTCACACAAGGGTCACTTATCAATACTAATCCACTGAGCAGAGCAATCCTAGTAAAATAAGTCTGAACGTGTATTGTGGTGTTCTACTCAACACAGATGGGAAACAAAATATATAATAAATATGTTCCTGTCTTTATATTTATCTGATTGCTGTTTTTTAATATTCTGTTTGAGCCCACCAACTAAAATGAGGCCAATCAGTGGCTACTGTCTAACTCAGTACATCACAAACTGGCAGCAGCTCTACAGTAAAAAGCCTCCCAGCAGTATCTCTGGAGTTAGATGGTCCTTTCAGCTGCTTGTTTATCTCCCAAGAGGTCACCACAGCAGACGATTTGGCGTGTTTAGTCTTACGCCAGATGCCCTTCCTGACATAACTCTTGACCACAATGTAAGAGTGACACTGCTGAAAGTAATACTTATTAAGAAAAGGAGTTTTACAGGAGAATCGGTACAAAACCCCCCACATTTTTATGCAAAGGAGACACATCGGTAACAGGATTGTTAAGATCATACGGAGCTGAAGAATTCAGCCAGTCCTAGGAAACACTTGTAAGTGACTGGTAATAAAAAAATGTTTTAAAAAAACTGGCACAAAGTAAGAGGCAAAAGTTCCTTTAGGGCTAAAATACATCTTTAAGCAACCAAAGTTTTCCCACTTGCTAAATTGTTCAAACTTGCTGTGGTTTTTCTTTGTATTTAAAGTAATCGCCATATGACTCCATATGCAGTGATTTCTGTGCACTTTATGAATCGCAGGGGGAGGTTTTGATTAAAAAGTAGCTCAGAGCAGCTCATTAAACAAAAAAGAAAAAATGAACCAGCTGATTTTTGGGGGGACAGTGAGCTAAATCTAAAGCTCAAAACTTTAATGTCACAACCTGAGTCAAGCCTGACACCAGAGTTTGACGAAACCTTGGTTTTATTTTTAAAAAATTCTTAATAATCTCAGCTAAAAGATTAACTACTTATCTCCCAGAAAGCACGAAGGCAAGAAGTGGTGTCGCCTCAAAAGCCAACCTCAGGCTCGCCTTTACCCAAACTCCCTCACCCATTAATTAGCAATTAAGCCGCAGTGACACCCTGAGACTCCTGCGCGGCCACTGCAAGGCGAGTAGAGGTTGCAGAGGATTGCAAACAGTGAACTATGAATTGAAGCTAGCTTGTTTGAGTCTGTATGAAAGTGAACACTGAACACAAGGTCTTTACTGTGAAGCAGCGGCAACATGTATCAGATAGCCTCAAGGTAAACTAGAAGCAGCTGAGTACATTAGCCGCTGTTATGTAATATTCCAGAAGTTTGTGTGTACAGCAGCAAACCTGTACTAAAGCAAATCAAAAGCAGTGCTAAAGCAGAGCCACATAAACATCACCTCTTGTATTATCCTATATGAACAAATTGTGGATAATCCCTATTCTACACATTTTCACAATGCATTAAAGAACATTGACTCAGTTGATTTGATGACCTTACCTGCTAACCCAGAGTTCATGATAACGGTGGGAGTCCCACAGCCGGGCAGTGGGGGGGCCACTGGAGGAGGCGGAGGAGGGAGAGGGGCTGACGTCTCTGTAGGCATTCCTGGGGGTGGCGGGGGAGGCGGAGGGGGTGGTGGCGGAGGCGGGGGAGCTGCTGCTGGAATTGTTGACGTTGGTCCGTTTGACACTGGGAGAGGGGTAAGAAAAACAGTTCAGGCTGACCCGCTGTTATCGGCTTAATATTCTGAGCTAATATTAAACTTACGTGTGCCGTTCATCGGAAGCGGCGGGGGCGGAGGAGGCGGTGGAGGTGGAACAGGTGTGCCCGCCGTAAGTGCAACATGGTTTGGACTGACGGCTACACCGTTTCCGCCGAACACGGCGCCCGGCGAGCTCTCCGTAGCGGAGGGCGGCGACGTTAGGATTGAGATGTCTCCGTCTCCTTTCTTGTGGATCTTGATGGTGCCCTGCTTCTCCAGCTCGTGGATCTTCTTCTCGAGTTTACTTTGTCGCTGGATGGCCTCGTCCTTCTCCTTCAGCATCTGTCGCAGCGAGTGCACCTGCGAGCTGGCATCTTTATAGACTTCCTGTGTGGTACAGGGAAACAGAAAAAAGGAACATATGAGAAGAACAGAAAAATACCTGTGGCGATATTTTACATTTTCTCTACCGTTAGCTTAACTAGCTATCACCAAGTTTAAGAACTGATGTCAAGGTAGAGAAAGCGGCTCTGACCCTGATGGATTCCAGCTCCTTGTTCCTTTGCATCAGCTGCTTCTCCAGCTCTACAATTTTGGCCATGGCCTCATTCTCCATGTCCTGCAGCTTCTCTGTCATCTATGGGAACAGTATCAGGAAGAAAAGATTGCAGAGTGATGTGAACTAACTGAAGAGACACCATTCGAATCAACATGTTAGCACAGAAATATACTGAGGCACTACGAGGGTTTCATATTTTCATGTATCTGGATTAAAAATGATCTGTCAGGGCCTAAAAGTTCTGCATTTTTCAAAAACAAAACAAAACTTTGCACCATATCAAGTTGCTATTCCATCAACTTCCTATTGTTAATATTCAGACTGCTGCAAGAGAAATAAGATCAAAACGGCAACTTCGCCTCAACCAACACTAGAGGGTTCTCACATGTGATATGTTCTCCTCCAGCTCCTCCACCCGCTCCAGGGCAGCATTTTTGGTCTCCGCATCCTCCAGCAGCGCTCCCACATCAAACACATTATCCAAGTAAGCCTGGATCTGGACCTGCAGCTTATCACTCTCTGTGTGCTTTAGTTTCTGCAGAGCAGATACAACAAGTTAGGGAAGAGGAGCTGTAGTTTGATTTCAGCTCACAGCATTGGGATAACATCGATCTTTCTGCAGAAAGTCAGGAGACAAAGAACTACAAAGCTGACCACTGTTTCTGAAGTAATGGAAAAGCCATTATTGACAGTGGTTGCTGTCTCAGGGGCACTGTAATGACAGCCTATCCTCTGGACTGTGAGTGTTCAGAAGAATGTCTGTCTAGCCATTTTCCTGCAGCACTATGTCTCAACTCACATCTAAGTAGTCGTCCAAACACAGCTTGGTGAAGTCGTACTGTAGATGAACCCTGAAGTTCATGTCCTCCACTGAGTGCACGACGATGTTGATGAACTGCATGCACGCCACCTGGGGAATGGCAGGTAGGAAAGGTTAGCGAGAGAGAGAGTTCACTGCATATGCATTTTCTATATTACACTGTTTATAGGACTGTAAAACACCTTTATAGATCAGTGTGCAACAAGTTTGTGTTTTTATACACCAGTTTGCTACTTCCACGATTTGGTTTTTATGCTCATATATAATATATGTTGCCTTTTATTATGTCTCGGGTATATAAATCCTTATTATTTTGCTTGCTTAGCTGGCAGGGTAGCTTATCTGGCAGATTAAAAGGATCTGAAAAAACAAATGAACAAAAGCTGCCAATTCAACACTACTATGGGAGCTTGCATAAACAGATCAAGGGGGATCTACTCACAGTTTCTAATGCACACACGCGCGCTTCCCAACGCTAAAATGGGCTTCATGAACATCCTACAACAAGCTCAGCTGCCCCAGTGTGAGAAAGCAGCTTTTGGCAAAGTCTGTTCACTTCAGAGCTGCTGTCAGGTGACGACTGCCTATCGGGAGGACTGCAAGGGAAACTTGTTCAAAGTGAAGCACTATTCAAGCACAGCCTCTGTTGGTTTTCACTCAGATTAATTAGAATGGATTCACAGAGGTGTGACGTATAAAATCAAGCATAAGGTGGCATGTCCATTGATGTTCTTAAGTCTTTTCTGTCAGATTAATTAACACTGCTGAGCCTTGAAAAAACAGAAGGTCTTTGCTTAGGGATCCTCAGGTTTGATCCACTGCAACACACATCTGTAGCTTATGCAGTGACCTTGCACAGAAACTGATAGTACTGCATATCACAAAACTGGAGGAACAGTTTGTTAATTTTTTACACTGAACTCCTGCTCTACCTCCTGGTAGAGGCAGGGCAGGTCATCTACCATTCGAAAGGTTGGTCGTTTAATTTCTGGCTGCCCCAGTCTGCATGTCAAAGTAATCTTGAGGAAGATACCAGACACTGAGCTGCTCTCGATGTGTTCTCTGAGTGCGAATGTGTGTGTGAATGCTAAAAAGAAAAGAATCGGACGTAGAAAACAGTTGTATAAAGAGCTCATTTAGGTACAAGTATGTTTACCATTTAAGTTCGATTGGGGTTTAGACAGGTATATGAGGACCTGTTTCTAACCTCTTCTGCCCACACATTACAGTTCACATCATTTTCTCTGAACTTTTGACACTGAAAAATCATTCGGCTTCACAGAAAGGGTTTTCGGGGATTGCAGCACAATTAACAGTCATCACAACTGTGCGTAGGCTGACCATGAAGTCAATGTTGTTGTCCTCATTCTTGAAGTACTCCATTAGCTTCTCGAATCGCTGCTCCTCTGTACACACCTGCAAAGAAAACCACACATTAATTTACTTCATTTGTTTTAGACCAGCTGGAGAAACAAAGCCAGGGATTTAGCCAGGAATTGTACCTCATAGACTTATTAATCATGTGTCAATATGTGGTAAAAACTACTGATGTAAGCTGCAAAATACTTTACAGCTTCCTATGATCTCAGAGAGAGCTGTTTTCAAAGCGATAATTAATAAGATACGTTTTTATGAAGTGCTGCAGGATCATTCTTTTATTTTATTTCAGCTACAGTTTGCACCGTGCACCTGTTTTCAATGTTACTCGCAGTATGTTAAAGCGTGTTTAGAGTGGAATTTGGGAGATAAAAAAGAGGGAGTAGAGAGATGCTGTGCAGTTCAGGGAGTTCATGTGGATGTCAATGAGGCAGACAGAGGATGATAAAGAATTGAGAAGGAAGGGAAGAAGGAAAAAAAGAGGGATGCAATGCTGTGAGCTTTAGCCTGCAGCCCCCATCATTCAGCAACATATCTAAGTTACTCAGAAAAATAGATCTCGCATTATGGTCGACAGTGTCACTTTTCATCTAAAAGGAAAAAAAAGAAAAGAACAACTAAACCCTGCCTCCACCAGAATAGAAAAACATGCTGCCGTGCTTCCTGCACTCACATTATCCAAATGCTTTCTCAAACTTCGTCTCATTAGACGGGCAACATTCTCTCTATGCCTTAATCTCCCATTAATGCCAGTGCCGCTGAGAGCAACGCTCAATATTTCATTCCGGGAGTGTAAATATTACATTAACTGCAGTCAGCCCATGTTTGCGGGCCGTATGCTACAAAATGGGGCTGCTGTTAGCGCTCTCTCCATCACAAACCTCCCACTTCTTTCTCCAGAAGCCAGAATGCCTCATCCAGACAGGCAGAGGTCAGGCAGGGCTATCTGTTACAACTAACTCACTGCTTTTCTGAGCTTTGAAGCTACTGCCAAATCCAGTTAACACGCATATAACTGTTATCACTTGCGGCTGTGTGTGTCGTCCTATGCGACGCAGCTAAACTGGTGTCTGTAATCTGTTGACTAACAGAATTAATTCCTAGACGCTATCCCTTTGAAGCAACGAGGAATACGCCGGCCTCACAACTGCCAGACGAGCATTCCTCCAGGGCTGAGTCACTGTTTGAAGCAAAATGTAATGACATATTCGTCTCCTCCGAACCATCTTTGCAGCTCGTACCTCCTTAAAGTTGTCGAACGCAGAGAGAATAATTTCGTGGCCTCCTCTCACGAGGCAAACCGCCGCCAGGAGCTCCAAGACCAGAGCTTTGGTTCTGAAAAACAGGGAGAAAATGATGTCAGGAATAATTAATGAATGAACAGAAAAGCAGGAGATAATCGCAGAGGAAACAAAGCGGAAAACTGTGTAATTTAGGATCATCTCGCTACTGAAACGTCTGCATAGGACAGATCATAAACAGCAACCACTGTCACAGCGAAACAAATTTTCATTGTGTATTCATTGGTTTAACCTCTTGAGAGTCAAAAGCCCAGAGTTAAAGGGGGGTTAAAGGCCAGGTATAAAAAATGAATACTTCTTGGCCTGATTCATGTGAGTTTATTAAAGTGCATAGACACTGAAAGTGCCGGCTCATCCCGTCTCCAGTTCATTCACGCGGGATTTCTATGTCTGGATGAGATGAAATGTGACAGGTGATGCGAAGTGGTTCCACATCCACTTTTGAGAAAATCCTTAAACCCTGGGGCATGAAGTGAAAACACGACCACACACACACACACAGAGTGCTCCTCGTAGCCGTCTCAGTGAGCAGCTGCCAGTGTGGTGGACTGTGCCAGCGGTGCCTTGACCCGTCTGTCAAGATGAATGTGCCCCTGAGCAACAAGGGCTCCCACTCTCAGACTGTGCAGGTGCACAAAACCTAGCGTTTGTGCTTTTATGGATGTGGGTCCAAGTTGGTAAAACATAAAACCCATCTTATTGAATCTTTTATCCAGCAGCTCTTTTTTTATTTGAAAAAAGAAACTTGAGATTTTGTTCTTTATTTACCTACCTTTTCATTTTTGGTTCCTTTTTTGTTTTTGTTTTTCAACCTTTGGTCGAACTTACCTCGGGTTTTTGTTGTTGAGGCTTAGTGCAATTTCATTCACAGCATGAGGGTGTGACATGACCATGTTGAAGCCATACTGGAAGATGAAAGACAGAGACAAAGCAGTTCATTAACAGAGAAGATGAGACACAGAATAAGCAAGATGGGACTTGTAATAATAAAAACAACTTAGAAAACTGAATTTAGCTTAACAAAATGTGGCTCAGCTCAGAGAGACGTGCAGTCTGTGTGGACTGGATGGTCCCTGTAGAGGCCTTGGGGGCTGACCTGGTAGTTCATGATAGCACGCAGGCACATGATGCAGACGTGGACATCATCTTTTTTGCAGACCAGTCTGGAGTTTTTCAGCGTTCTCCGGCTGGGCAATGTGTTGAAACTAATAAATAAAGATCAGAAGTCAGTATTAAAGGGAATAAAACTACAGAATAAAATGTTAAGCCTATGTGACTGAACAAAAGAGTTCACAAGAACTGAATAAACAAGATAACAGATGCCATTTGTAAACAAGCCCTCATTGCACACCATCTTCTGCACATAATGAGGCTGTTAAACTGCCAGGGCACCTTATATTAACACACACAAAGGCCATAAAATCTACAACCGAGCACAGAGCCACCGGATGCCTTCTTTCAATTGTTTCAACAGACCTTCATGGAGATATCACTTACAGCTAACACCACAGCAGCCAGTCATTTGCATGCAGCACATTGATTGTGCAGCTTTATCTGGACAAAAACAAGGCCTCTGCTCCTGGTGCAGCTCCCACACTAAAACAGAAATGCTGGAGCAGCAGTCTAACTGAATAATATGCAAAAAGAGTCGGAGAAAAGGAGTTCATTTTCAGACTTTTATCACGAGGTACAATTACCAAACCCAAGTTCTGGGGAAAAATGTGTCTTCGGGCTACTGACAGACATGCCAATTCGTGTCATCACCCATGCCTGTAGGCGTGACTTCTCTGTGTGTCAAAACACAGTGTGTGAGTGTGCATGTGTGTTTGTCTGAAAAGGAACGGAGCTTTCAAGGGAGAGGCAGCGGTTTGAGGATGAAGACGGCTCTAAATTAGCAGTAAAATGAGCTAGATTTTTTTCCTGCTTACACAAGTATCCACATTTGCTATGTGAGCATTACTGCATATTGCATTAAGTAAAGTGCAGCATTAAAATAAATAAATAAACAAATGAAGTAGATAAACAAGCCTTTTCCTGACAGAACAGGAGCACCTGCTTCAAACTGCAGAAATAACCTTCCATCCAGGAGTTTTTCCACTCCTGATTAGGCAACATCCAGGAAATGACTAATCAGCGCTTTCTAATCTCAAACCAGTGAATAGATACATTATTATGTAACACCAACAACATGAAGGAGAAGTTTGAGAGAAAAAGCACAAAGAAGAAGGGAGACAAGGAAAGAAAAATAGAAAAATAGGAAGGTAGGACGATAATGAAAAGAAGGTAGAAGAGATACAGAAGAAACAGAAGAAGACGGAGGAGGAGAAGAACAAGGAGGAAGAAGAAGAACACGAGTATGGCGATCAAGGAGGAGAACGTGAAGGAACAAGAAAGAAGATGAAGAAGGAGGGGAAAGGGAGAAGAAAGACGAGACAAAGAATGAGAAGAAGCAAAAAATAGAGGAGAAGAAGAACAAAGAAGTAAATGAAGCAGAGGTAGAAGAACAAGAAAAAGCAGAAGAATGGGAAGAAGGAAAAGGAGACACAGAGTGAAGCAAATGTAACACCAAAAAATCCTAAATGTAATTTAAATAACAGAACATCAATCACTACAACTCTATTTACAAGCTATCAATAACAGCTCTAACACGGCTACATGTGACTAGCTAACGCTTCACACATACCGTCTTAATTGAGAACACTTTGGACAGCTCAGTGCACTCGGTGTCCTTCAAGTTGGCAGTTTCAAGAAGACATATGGATAAGACTTAATGTGGGATCTAACAGTTTCTCGGTATTTATCATTCTACTTCAAAGCCAGTCTAAAAAGCATAAGGGAAAATAATCTGTATAATGGAAAAAATCGATATTATTAGGAATTATAAAACCACTTAGGCCAAAGCAAAAGATTCATAATTCATTTGCCATTTAAAAAAATATAGAAAACAGAAAAAAGCAACCAAAATACAGAAGCTTGTTAGAAGCTACTTATTCTACTCATACTGGTTGTAGCCTAGTGCTGAGCTTTTAATGGTTGTTGTAGAAACTAGGCTAACGTCTGCACAGAATGGCATTTAGGGAGCCACACAAGCAGCACACAGACACACAGGCAGGAACAATGAGTGCAGTAAAATCCATTTGCTCCAAGGAAAGGAGAATTCAGTCACAAGTGCAGGGGGGGTGGGCAAGCAGTACAAATAATTCACATCCCCAACACAGACAGCGGGACAAATAAACTGGGCAGCTCTACCAGGGAGGTATAAAGTACAATGAGGCCGGGGATCGTGCGTGGACATCCATGTGTGTCTCTGCTCGTAGCATTATAAGTGTGTTTGTTTCTCTAGAAGGGACGGGGATGCTGGGGTTACAGCCGAAGAAAGCTCACTCTGAGCCAGCAGAGCGAAACTGAGACCTGCCTGCTGTCGAAGACTGGCAGACAAAAGAGCAGATGACTATAGGAGGGTGGGGGGGCATTAGGACAAAACAGAAAAGACAGTCAGCCAACAGTGATGTCACATCTGGGGCCAGCAGATGTGTAGGTGAGGTGACATGGCATGGGAGGGTGAAGTTATTTATGGGACAATATTGATATTTGACAGTCATTTAAATATCAGTAAAGCATGGATGAAATATGTGCAAGTAACAATAAAACGAGACCTCATCATGTGGTCTGTCTACAACTTCCACATTTAGCAAATTAGCATCTAAATTCCTGGTGAAAAATGTGCAAAAGCCAAAACACCAAGTCAGTTTGTCTGGTCTGCATTTCTTCCATTGCATCTATTTACATATTTATCAAGAAAACACCGCTACTTTGTGACACCACACAACAGGAAAAACAACAAAAAGTGGCTGACTTGATTATCATTTAAGGATCTCATATTAAAAAGACATGTGCTTCCATGAATCAATAGTGCTCTTTGTGTGCAGTGTGTTCAAGTTAACCTCTTCAAACTAAAGGATTAGAGGCCACAGAAGTCAGCAGGAGTGCTGTACCAAAACATTAATGGAATGATGGGAAAGATTAGAGAAATAATGCACAAATGAACAGGATTTATGCACCTATGCTGGCATGGGTTTATAAATAAACTGCTCTGAAATCCTCTACACACTGGATTTTGAGTGAAAAGGTCTGTTTGGTGTTTATAAAAACCTAAACAATAAAACCTGACGAAAACCTAGTTCCATAAGAAGATCTGTCACAGAAATTACTGTTACTCATGTAATCACAGATTATCACAGTCAAAAAATCCAGGCAAATGGTACTTCCCCCCTGCACATATCTTAAGCCATTTAAAGACTTAGACCTCATGACTACACAAAGGACGTGGCTGAGGCATCATATGAAATGTGTGAGTTCTCAAAATAATCACGATTCCCTTGGCTAGTCATTTCGTCAGCCAGAGAGGGCAGTTCGTGTGTGTGCTGTACCGTAACGTGGAATGTCGCCCGACTCGGGTGATACTGTTCCCAGTGATGGGAGATGGTAGGGTGCTTCCTCCATGGAGGTCTTCTATAGAGCGGCTCCAGGGCTTAGACTTATCCATCGCAGCCTCTGGGTTGTTCTCCAGGCACTCGCCATCGAAACTGTTGTAACAAGGAACATCTGCATTTACTCGGATTGCTTTACATCTGATGCTGTTTACAGGCTGTGAACAACAGGTCGTCTAATTTATAAGACTGCAATGCCAATGCAATGCAATCAATCTGAATCAGTCTGTGCCGATAAGTGCAAGTTCTCTGCAAAGCATCTGTTAGCAATAATGACTCAACTTAACTGGCTGCCAACTAGTTGTATTCTGGTTGTTCCTGTGTCATTTTGTAGTTAAACACCATCCTGTAGCAGCTAAGTCATTTGGGGAGGAATTTTTGCTTCGAAATTACAAGGTTATGGCTGGACTCTGAATGTAAATTTTAATGTGAATTTTTCTGCATGTAGACAGCAACTGATTTGTGAGTTTCAGTGTTGCCAACTCCTCAGTAAGGAAAATCGCTATTGGTTGTCCTAAAAGTCGCTAGAAGTCGCTGAATGATGTCATCGCCTAATTTGCATAATTGGTCATGCTAATGTAATTGTAACCTACGCTGTTGGAGAGAGAAATAACATCGTGGAAGAGACATAAAGTCAGTTAAAAAAAACGTCTTAAATGCATTTAGAATTTATTTAGAACTACAAATTAAATTTATTTTAGCAATTATTGTTTTTTTAATGTCACAATTCCAACCCTGCTCCTTCATCCGGTCTTGGACCGGCAAAAGTGACCCGAAACAGGCACTCTGGTGGAGTTACTTTGTGTGTGTTCATAAGTAGTTTTAAACGTTGTGGTCCACAAAACAACATAACGGTAAAAGAAGAACTGACTGCGTTACAGTCAGTGCGGGAGCCCTGCCCTGATAGCAGCTGGGGGAGGACTATCCTCTGCCTGTGAGCGCTTTGGCACGGGCGAGGTGCCCACCGCAGCACCCGCTGCTTATTGAGAGGAGCAATATGCGCTTTCACGTCAAAAAGTCCGTTTTAGGAAAAAAAAAATTTCCTTGGTGTGACTGTAGCATGAAGTAGTTATTTCCTACTACTACAACCAAATCAATACATCGTGTCTGATACACACTTTTTTTTTTAATTTGTTTAACCATGCTTACATGGTTAAACAAAAGTGCCACAAAAGTGCCACAGAAGTGGCACATTGGAACTATGCTCTGCAAAGTGTATGAATTAGCATATTGCTATCATGTTATGAGCAATGTACATGTAGTCATAAGCATTCCTAAAACAAAAATATATTTTTTTCTAGATGTGGGTGTAAATTCACTGAGGACTACAGCAAGGAAAACATGCAGTAAATTTTGAAGCAGTGGCATTAATAGGAAGTGAAAAATGCTGATAATTAGCCAGACTCTTGCTAAGCTAATCGAATGATGCTAGGCTAGCCAGCAGATTTTTAAAAAAGCCACACTGACCAACCGATAACAGATGAGGAATCCATTAGTAAACCACAAACCCTGCTTCTGCCTATAACATATCCAAACATAACATATGCAATCTTATTATCTTATATATTAGGGCTAATTATAATTATATATGAGGCTAATTCTTTTAAAAGTAAAAAAGTGTTCAACTCCATGTTTAAAAAAAGGTAACAAATGTTTTAAAGGGTTTTCGTGTTAGACATGATCCTGTATATTAGAAAAAAGCTCATGTTTTGTTGTAGTTGGCACAAACTATGGAAAGCTGCTTGTTAAATCATACCTTTTATGATCTATTTCAGTTTTTAGACTGGTCCTTTGACTTTAATTTGCTGCTGCAGTGGTACTGTGTAAACACAATTTTACGGCTAACCATTCATAATTTCGACAGACTATAATAACATATGGTGAAGTGGAGTGGTGAATTAAAAATTTAACTGTGTGGCACTCTGGGCCTGAACAGCGACTCTGTGAGTGACTAATAACCACACTGTCAATCCATGAATAGAAGCATATGGTTAGCATAACACACAGTGCCTATGTGTCAGCACTGGGCGTCGAGTGACTCAGTGTTTCTGACAACCGGGCAGCAGCGACGGTGGTGCTGGCCCTGTGTGGAGATGCATCAGCGGTTGTGCAGAATAGCATCGTTGTGTTGATTATGAGTTCTGCATATAGACCATTGTGGTGCAAGGAGAAAGAGCTGCTGGAGACTTACGTGACAGCATACTGTGCGAAAGAAAGATAGTCCACCAGCACATCCAGGCCTTTGTTCTCTTCATTTAGGAATTCTCGTACCCACCTGACGAGAAGTGTAAACTATTAAACCAAAAACACTTCAAATGTGTTAAATTAATTGACAATTACAAATTAGGCAAGTTAAAGCAGGACAGTTGTGAGCCTAAACTGTAAAATAGAAAGATGGAAAGGGAGAGTAATACATTGCTTTTAAGAGTACACGGTATTTTAAAAATGTTTATTATCCAGTGCTCTCCATAATGTTTAGCACAAAAACACATTTTTTGTAGTTTTGCCTCTGCACACAGTGGGTTGTAAATCAAAGAATCAGTACGTGATTGAAGTGCAGACTTTGGGCTTTAATTCAAGGGGTCTTACAAATATTACACCCATTTTCATTCACCCAATTTTCAAAGGTTTAAAATTAATGGGAAAGACTAACATAAATGTGAAGACTCTTTTTAACCATTTAAAGCCTGAACCATTAAATAATTGCCAGAAAATTCAAATATTTTATTGAACCTTATGACAATATTAATTTGCATATATGAGTTTTATTTGTATAATTTTACTACATCTGGCATTTTTTTTCCATTTATTGCTTAAAAAATACAATTTTTGTGCAATTCTTTCAGGTTTCAGTATGAGAAAAAAAATATCACACTGATTATGTAATCGTTTAAAAAATGCAAAAAAAAACCCCCAACCCGGGTACCAAATAAATACTTCAGACAGACACTGGGTGTCTGTCTGAAGTCTAGAATTCACCACCAAATTCTGCATTTCCTCCCTTGAGATCCTTAATTGAAGCCACCTTCAGTTGATGCTTGTCTGTGGGTCTCTCTGCATTCAGTACTTAGTAATGGAAAAGCATGCTCTGTTCGGTTGAGATCAGCCAACTGACCATTGAAAAATAATCTGTCTGGTACAAAAAAGTCTGAGCTGTTTTGCAGCATTTGGCTGAATCTGAGCAGAGTTTAGTTCTGTGCACTTCAGAGTTCATCCTGCTTCTTCTATCAGCAGTCATATCATCACGAAGCACTAGTGGCCTGGTTCCACTGGCAGCCATACACGCCCATAATTGCATAACACTGCCTCCACCATATTAGATGTGATATCTGTTCTCTCTTCCTCCACACTTTTCTCTTGCTGTCATTCTGATACAAACTTGTTGGTTAACCTTGTTTTATCTGTCCGAATAATTATTTTTCTGAACTCTGAAGGCTCTTTTAGATGTTTCCTTGCAAAGTCTAATCTGACCTTCCTCCTCTGGAGTATAATCAGTGGTTTACAACACAAACTATATACTATATTTCCATTCATGAATGCGTCTCTTGATTGCAGGCCTTGACAATGATACGCCTACGTCCTCGAGAGTGTCCTTGACTTGGTTAGATGTTGTAAAGGTTCTTTTTTTAACCATGGAAATAATTCTGTCATCATGCATTTTAGCTGTGGTCTTTCAGGTGTTTTGGTGTTGCTCCCTGATAGATTTATTTGGGTTTTTCTGCCTAATTTTGGCTTTACTCATTTGCAAGAACATCTCTTTGTGCCTCATATTAGAAATCAAATCTTTGTCCCGAACATTACGTATAACACATTATGTGCAATTAGTTTTTTCTAAACATTCTTCCCGGGCTGTAACCTGGCCTCGGTAGATGTTTTCAGATTATTCACCCTGTCTCTCCTCCTTTGCAGAGAAGAATTGCATTGACCATTTCAAAGCTTCCTGGCTCAGAGAAACAAACGTGTTCACAAACACGCAAATAGAAACTCATTATTAATCTTTTATGTATTTATTTCTCTATCGCTCACACACACTGATAAAGACAAAGCTGAAGAATGATCAAAAGCCCTTTATCGCTTTCCTTACAGCCACTACAGTGGGCCACCCATCCAGCGCTTTGCCTGCTTTCTAGTTTTCATTCTGCACAGAAAAGCTGAGCTTTTCACAGGAAAGCTCCCACCACCTTTGGTATGTGCTGCTCTCCTTTCGTATTTATAAGCACTGTTAGCTGAATCACAGAGGATCTTTATTTAATCGCGTCTTGTGGAGGTGCCGTTTCGTTTTATTGGTCCCACAACTGCTTCGATGGGGCTGATTGCTCAGCGATTAAGTAAATTTGTAGGGCATACACATAATGACACAGGCAGGCTTCAGAGTGGTAGTGCGCTGATGAAAGCTAAACTGCTTTAAAAATCCACTAGCTGCTTCTTTATTAGCTCCCCTGTGGTGTAACTACATGGGACTGAAAAAGACTAACAAGATTGTCCAGTGAACTAGTGCCTAGTGGGGTCGGTGGTGGTTTAAGTAGGCTCGGGGGTGTGGTCTCATAGTAATTATTACCAAAGGACCCTAACTAACAATCCTCCATTCACTGCATGTTGGTGACCAAGTCAGAAGCAGGCTCACATCAGCAGTGCTTATAAAGGGACAATCTGTCTATTATACACAGCCTGCATAATTAATATCTGTTAACCTCTGACACTGTGTTCCAACATCATCAGTCGCTTCTACCCTCCCAATCTCCCTTTCCCTGTCCTTTTGCTATTATGGTACCGCCTCATTGTTTAATCTAGATTAGTGAGACTATTTGTGTAATCTAGTTACCAACAATAAGGTTTCTAAAATAACTTTATCCTTGTAAACATAGCTTCAGCTCTGAAGGCGGACATCGTCTCTGGCTGTGGTTGGAACGTATTTTTGGTTTGAAGAGCAGAATTTGACTATTGTGTAAACAGCGTGTAGGAGTGTGAGAGACAGCGTTGTCAGACACATGAGATAACTTACGTGAGTGTCGCTGACATGGACACACTGAACTAAAACAATATGTGTGTGGGAGGCAGGAAAAGAGAAAACCAGAGAGACTGAGAGATGTAGTTTAGGATATAGAGTATTGTTGCTGTTACAACAGCCTGTGGGCAGCGGATGTTCTCAGGGTTGCTTCATCCAATCCTCGACAGGGTGTCCATGTCTTCTGTGACCATCCAACCCACCATTCTGCTTTGAGTTGCTAACTTTCATTACTCGTACAGTAAATCCAGGTGCCTCATTCACAAGCAGCACAGGTTTTCCACAAGGTTATACTAAAAATATTCACATCTCTTAAGCACGGCCGTGAATCATTCTCCATTGAAGCCCACAATACTAGTTTTGGTCTCTATCGCATATTTTACTATGTAATAACATGTAAATGGTGGTGTATTTATAGTGTAACCCATTTAAATTTTATTAAGGCTTAAAGTAGTGCATTATTAGAGACTTAGATACCACTTTTGGGTGACGCGCAGGTGCTGCAAGCTGACTGCAAGGCCTCACCTCAACAAACTGGAGTCAAGGAAATGTACTCTTTTTTTTCTTTATTATCTTAAAGATTTGTTGTCATTTTTGACTATTGCAGAAATGCAGAAGACAGTAAAGTTCGGAGAAGGGAGGGGACATATAGCAAATGACCGAGGCGCATATTCAAACCGCGGGTCGCTGCACTGCAGCCACGCGGCACGTGGTCGCCTACTCTTTTAAAATGGACCTTTCAAACATGTTTGTTGTGCTGATGCTTTTTACTATGTAATTATCTGACAGATAGCATGGCTTGCTGTGCAGGTAATGGTACTAACAAACCATCCAAAAAGTCTGCTCTCCTGTGTTTGTGAGTGAAATTCTTGTATTTTCTCTGCAGTCTAATTCAATCAGACACAAAAAACAATCCACAGGTGAACGTTTTTAATAGGAAAGCAAAGCGACTGGGAATCTGTGTCTTTAAAAGAAAAACTTTGAGCTCCATTCAAATTCAGGTCTGTGTGTTCTATTGTGCAGAAGAGTGGGTCCGCTCTAGCTCTGCATATTTTTTACACATTTTGTCCTCTTCCAAACTTTAAGCCATCAGCAATAACCAACTATCATTTACACTCGCTTTATGCTAATATTTTCAAAGAGGAAGCAGTGCTCTTGAACCGCTCCCTTTAAAGTATGAACATTTCAAAGGATAGCTGCTTTCGGCTGCTTCCTTGCCACAAGGGGTCGCCACACCAGGTAGCGCTGCATGTTTGAGTTGACAGATTTACACCAGATGCCTTTCCTGGTGCAACCCCAAAGGGGATTTGTATGATTATACCTAATTACAAGAGTCTCTAACCCTTGTTTTGGTTGCTATTTGTTTCTCTAGTACTGCAGTAATAACCTCTTAATTCTTTTAACCAAGCAAAGAATATTTTCTGCTTAGCTGACAAGCAAAAGAAAATTAAACTGTAATTTTTTTTATGTCTCTTTCTAAATGTTTGCACCATCTTCATTTATTTAAGTAGTAATAGAAGTCTCCTGAATCCAACATGTCCCAGAATCCAGTGGGACTCATTAATGTCGAGCAGGCCATCGTTATCCTCATACAGGGTCTCTAGTTAGTGACTCGAGCCCTGTGATCTTCAGCAAGACAAAACACTGAGACCTTGTATGACTCTCACCGAGATATTGATCTTTCCTCAAGGCTAAACATACAGCACTGAATCAATAACAGCTGCAGCCAGTCGAGGCTTGTTACCCTGGAATACCAGAAAATGCAGATGAATGCATCATTGTTTTATCTGTTACAACATCAGTATCTCTTTAGCAACCGTATCAATACGTCTCCAGAATCGCAGACTAGCGAGCAACTATTGCAAGAGAAATGTGTTTCCCCTCCAGACGCCGTTCATGTGTCAGCTGCCCGAAACAATCAATTGATTCATCTTTTCTTCGTCGCCACATGGCTTTCGATGTAATATTAGGTCAGAGCACAGATAGGAATGGGGGATGGTGGTGGTTAGTGTCAGTGTCTGCGTCTCCGGGTGTCTGGAATGCCAGACTTTTCCCCTTAAATCTAATATAGGCAGGTCGCGGACACGCAACGCTACACAAGCCTCGCGCACTTTCTGCAGTGACTCACCCTATATGATTGGTCCGTAACGAAATTTCCAGTTCTCTCAGGACCTGGGTGGACTCCTGTACTCGTCGTCTGAATTTCTGAAGGAGGAAAGAAAGTGGGGGAGGTAAAGTTTCATCATACTCCTGTAAATCAACATGTGGTAGCACAGAGATATTTTGGCTGGAGAAAGCTTTGTTTCTGACAGAAAGGTCAGACAAACAGACAGAAGGAACCACATTGGCATTTAGATATAAAAGCAGGCAGCCTGCACACTGATTACAAAATAAAAGAATGAAAGAGGAGATGGAGCTGTTCCCATAGGTTTCTAAATGATGCTTTTATTTGCCAGTAACCAATAAAGAGGCTAAACAAGAAGGCCAGCTGAGTCATTGGAAACTGTGAAAGTGCATGAGTTGGATTTTTTTTTTTTTTTTTTCCACTTATGTTGTTTCTGTTTGCTCATGTTGGTTCTGTAAATAGCAATAATCCCTCCTGGAAGCAGCATGATAAAATCAAGTCACCTAATTGGCTACCTCTCAAGCCTGGCCAGGAGCAGTAGCAGCTACATAAACACAATTGTACACACACACACACACACACACACATTCTCAACCCTGTTACTGTGGCTACAGACAGAAGACAGCACGCAGGAAGCTGTGAACTAACTAGTGAGGGAAAGAGAAACGAGAGAACAGAGAAGATGAGCGGGTTCCTCTTTTCTTTCATCCTCTAACGGGAGGTGTTCTGCAAAACCAAAAACAAAAAGGCCCTTCAGGCTGTTATACAATCACAGGAACAAAACAAGAGAAGTGAGTGACCAGTGATGATCAAACAGCCTCACAGTGCAACAGGAGGGCGGGGAGGATCCCTGATCAGAGAGCGGGACAGAGAGGGGGAGAGTAAAAGTGTTACATCAGAGGAGTGAGGAGGAGAGGAGGGGAGAAAATTGATTGTATAATAGAGCACTGGCACTGGAGTTTGAAACACAGTGTGTCAAAAGGTGAAAACACCATCTCATATCCCGTTGCCGTCTTGTTAATAAAAACTTCAGAAGAGTGTAATCGGAGCGGTGCTTGAACTCAGGCAATTTCCAGTGTTGGAAAGAGCTCGTGAAATATCACCAAACACAAACGTGTGACTGCAAGTTAAAGTTTTAGAGGGAGGAGAAAATGTTAGCATTTGCTCTAAGAGATGGAGAAAGATATTAAAAAAATAAAGGACAGGAGAGGAAGATAAGAAAATAAGGACTGCTCAGCAAGGAAAATTTGATATACTGGAAATTCAAGTTTGGGTAGATTATAAATGTTGCTTTAAATATCTTTTTTTAATCAGTTATTGGATCGAACTTACTTAAGTTGAATGACTTAAAAAAACACTTTAAAGTATATAACTTTTGTATTATTTAAACATTGCATGAGCATGATCTGCAGTTTAGTGCATGTTAAACTAGTTCGTTTCCAGTATTGTGATGAATTTTGCACTAATGCAGCGTATTGGACTGTTATAGGGCAAAATGGGGTGTTTATGGCCGATGTTTGGTTACATCGAGGGTCGTTGAATTCAGTCAAATCCACAAAGAGCACACAGCAGCTGCGCAGGTCAGCTGATCACATCCTGTATGCAGAAAAAACGAGGTCAGCGGAAGTGCAGGCAATCCTCATGAGACTAAAGCAAATACAGTTTTTTCTGCTGTTCTCCATATGATGTCACTGAGAGTGGATATCCCTAATATGGTCATCTTGGGCCGATAGCTGTGGTTGAAAAGAGAGGAGAAGAGAAGAGAAGAGAAGAGAAGAGAAGAGAAGAGAAGAGAAGAGAAGAGAAGAGAAGAGAAGAGAAGAGAAGAGAAGAGAAGAGAAGAGAAGAGAAGAGAAGTCCATCGAGGGTTGGAGGGCCTAGTCACTTTCCATGATGCGTTTGTATCAGGGGGGGAAACGAAGCTCAGCCCCACGTTAACCTATTATTAACATTCACAAGAGCTGTTCCCATAGCTATGACCTGTGTCTTTGGGCTTAGGCGGCGTGTGTCTGGAACATGAGGAGATGAGAAACAGAGTGTTTTTATTAGGGAGGAGTCGTTTGTGCGCTTGTGTGGAAAGCCGAGCAAATTTTGGGAGAACTGCGCAGGCTCTCGGAGCCCCCACCAAACACCCCGCACTCCACACTTTAAGTGCTACCAGCTGCAACACGGAGAAAGCAGGAAGAGAGAGGAGCAGACAGTGGGGAGGGAGGGCGAAGACGACACGAGGGGAAATGAGAAAAAGGAGGAGACGCGGAGGGAGAAGTGAAAGGGGAAAGCAAGCGCATGGAAAGCACTGAAACCGTAGAGAAGGGAGGGTAAAAAAGGGAGTTTTTAGGGAAGTGTGAGCTCAGGAGGGCTCATCCTGGAAACAAATCAATAGCTGATACATTCTTGGGGACTAGTTGGACTGCAGCTCTTCCTCCTTGGCTGCCTATTGGTTGAGAGCTGCCTCGAGGAATGCACCGGAGCCTGCCTATGGAAAAGCAGAGGCAATGACCTCCAGCTCTCTCACAGTGGCACAAAGTGGCAATTGTTTGAGCTTGAAGAAAAGGGGGATGGTGCAGGAATGTAGAAAGAAGCCCATAACTCTTTCTTTTCCTCCACACTCTCTCATGCTTTTTTTGTCTCTCACTCTCTCATTCACTGTCCATCTCTTTCAAATCCCCCAAACCTACCCCTTTAACCCGCTCTATTATTCACTATTTCTTGTTCCCTCCCTCGCCATTACCCGACTCACTTTCTGTTTTCATTTGATTCCCCTGTGCCTGACCACTTGAGGTTTCCGATCAGGGCAAAGAACAGGCAAAGACTTTCCAAAATCCCACATGGCCCACTCAGCCTATGAGACTAATCGGTAAAAATATGATGGTAAATAAATAAAGAGAGCTTTGTTTTATTTAAAGGGGTTTAATATAGATCAGTTAGTCATGTAGACACAGATGACTTTAAGATAAAGAGAAAAGAAGGAGGATGCGACTTGAACCAACAACGAGTGTGCTGAGTGTTTAGACACCAACTCCTTCAAGTATGGCACTGTGGAAAATTTGCTTAGTCAAATTTTACGGGAGATTTGGAGGAGAAAGTTGAGACACCAAATTTAAAGCTGCAACCAGGAGGTGGACAGCTCAGCCTTGCTTACAATTACACCTACTAGCACCACTAAAGCTCAATCAACAACATTGTTTTTGACACCTCAGCTTTAGGCGGATAAAAAAAAAGTTAATTTGAGAGCTTAAAAAGTGCTTTTAGGTGGATTTTGTTACCTTCAGCCAGAACCAGGCTTATGCATTTCCTAGCAACTACAGCTAAACAGATTTATTACACACCTGAAAATATTCTTCCGGTTCTCTTATGAGATAAGAAATGTGAAAATTAAACACAGTGATAGCCAGTAACTACCTCATACTAGGCATTCATGTGTGAAAACTTCAGCAGCATGTGTGAAGGAAGGGAAGAGGAGTACTTCTCCATCTATAGTTTCACAGTCGGTGTCAGTTACCGAGGCAGATTTATACTAGCTGTCAACAAACCTGCACCTCTACCACTGACACAGCCTTTCAGTGTTTTGTCTATCATGTCTCCTTTGACATGCGTCACTTTCTTTGTGCTTTCTGCCTTTATCAGATCTTCTATAAGTGCAATCTCTCAGGCATTACATTAGCCAGATAGGTGAAGCAGTCTCTGTGACGGTCGATACTCCAGATCAGCCTAGTTAGCTCTTTATCGTCACCATCTAACATGCTGCAAATGCAGTTCTTTGTGCCAAAAAGCAAACAAAGTCCCAGCCTGGCAAGGCCGAGAACTAGGAGTCAAACTGCTGAACTTATCATTGAAAAGCATATATTTTGCAGCCTAAGCCACCATCACCAGTCAGTCTTAACCTGAGTGGTTGTAAATTAAACTAGCATTCAAAATGCTCTTAAAATTCTGTGAGAGCCTCGTATTATTGAACTGTCAGCATTTCAACAATTTAGGTGTACTAGGAGACGCAGTATGTGCAGAGAAAACTTTTATCGCATTAATTTTATGTTCTTTCTCTTTAAAGATTATTGAAGCTACTCTTTCATTCCTGACTAAGCTGCATAATTTACCATTAGGAGTCACTCCTCACTGTACCCATTAATAACGCTGATTTTGGCTACACAGAGAATGTGCTGTCTGGGGTATTTTCTTGCACCAATAAAACATTTCTGATCCTCTTTTTACCTTAGTCATCACAGCTTTTGTTTGTGCTGCTCTAGCTAACCAGTTGTGCTTTAACATCTTAACTCCAGTCAATCCAAATTGAATTATTCAGCGATTTGTTGTTATTCTGGCAGAGTCTTCTGGTTAATTTGTTTATCACAGACGCTGGTCTCCCAACCTTCCCCCCACAGCTCGCTCAGCAAGGCCAAAAAGACTTCATTTTGGCAAACCCCTAAGAGCTGGCTGATACTTGTCTTCACGAAGCTCCTCCTTTTACTCCCTTCTCCCTTCCAAGCTGCCAGGAAAACAACCAGAACTGGCTGCTCAGATGACATAAGACCATCTTTATCATGTTGCTGGGACGCTCCTGATCTCTTCAGTTAGTCCCTGCTATGCTACAAGGTGATGTGAGTGCAGCGCTTCATGTGACTGCGTCGCTCTGCATTCAAGTAGCTTGTTTCAAACTTTTATTTCTCCATTGCTCTTTCTGGCAGTGCATGGTGAGTGCAGAGCATGCCCTCAGCCACAGAACAGCAGTGGCCAGTGGTTTTCTCAAACCCGGGCGGTTCCAGATAAACAACTGTCTCCTTTCTATCTAAGTCACTCTGATGCCCGTTTTGTAACTAGTTCCCAGGTTGTCTCCTCCAGAACTCATGTGCACAATTTTTCCTCAGTTGTAGAGATATCCTGGACAAGAGATAGAGGGGTCAGAGGGGAAGGAAAAGCCACAGCGCTGAAACGGCCAGTGGAACAGGGAAGCATGTTTTAGCAAGGCCACTCACCTTTCTTGTGACCGCTGGATCTAGATAACTCCTCAGCTTTTGGAGGTACGTGTGAGGCGGGTTTTTCACTTGGAATCGCTCCTGTAAAAAGGAACAAAAAACAAAAATACTGAAATGAGCAGGGGTGGGAGGAAACAAGACGAGAGGAAGAGGAGAACAAGAGCACAGGGCAGAAGCTAAACATCTGGACAGTTCTCGTGTAACAATAGTGGAAGTTATATTCACAGTTTCACAGTTTTGTTTGACAGAGCCACTTTGTTCATTCAGATGACTGCACACACACAGACACACACACCACAGCCTCACAAGTCTGAACTCATGGCTAGTAAACAGCAACCAGCCTTTATATGCAAAACAAATTTCACTGATGATCTTTTCATTAATTTCAGCGTGCTGTAAAGAGCTGCCTGCCTGAGAACTGTGGCCACACCTGGCTACATGAATGTTTAAGTCTCCCAAGTTCAACCAGCAAGACTTTTGACGCCAGACCATTATATACGATGCTCTAAATATATACGATACAGCAGATTAGTGCTGGATTTGGATCACTGTGTTGAGCAGGAAAGAGCGTTTGGATCAGGCTGAGTGCCGCATCGTAGCCCACACTGCATCAGTTTGAGACTGCAGGCCATATCACAGAAAGGAAAATGTGTTCTTCATGCAGTGCGGTCACATTTCTCCAGTGTTCTTCCTAATTTTGAATGCTCTGATCTTGTATAGATTTATAGATCGGGAGGTGATATAGATCGGCGGCTCGTTTCACTTACTAGCAAGAATATTTAAAAAGAAAAAAGAAAGAAAGTTACTGTCCAGCGTCAGATTCCCCAAAAAGAGGAGCGAGAATTTAGCAGGCAGTGACAAGAACTTGATCTCCCAGTGGCTTTCCTCTAACGGACAGCCATATCTCTTCAAACAAATGTAACAGGATACAGTGATTCTGATCTCGTTAAAGGTCAGCGACAGTTACAGGTTGGCCGTACATGTGTGCGAATTACTGGAACACATACACTTGCAAACCTCCCTCACTGGTAACCAAAAGCCATCCATATCACATGCTTTTATGCAAACAACTTCAAACTGTCAGCTTCATCAGCGCAGTATTTGCTGTGCCGCTTTTGTCATGAATCACATCCTGGAAAGGTGTCCACCCTCCGCACACAGATACAGAGAACGGATCGACAACATCACATTTGTCACTGCCACAGGGTCTGTCGCATAAAAACAGGAAAGACGAGAGAGCTGTCAGGAAAAAGAGCCGGCTCTCAGCAGACAGCAACACGCAGGCGGACAGCTCTAAAGCTTGGAAGCTCGAGCTGGAGAGTCTGCAAAATAACGAGCGAACGGTACGGTGCAAATCATGACGAGCGCAAAGACCTGTGAGGTGTGTAAATACCTCACAAATATAAAAGTGTGAATTTATAAAGACCGGTGAAATCACAGTGAGCAAATATGTTTGGTATGTAGAGGAATATAAGCGGGTTTCAACATGCTACGTGGCAATGAAGAGTCCAGAATAGCAGGTTTAAGTTAAGTTTGAGCAGTGATCTTTACTTCCTGCTCTACATCTGAGAAACCTTTTAAAATTAGAGTTGCCAACCAGTTGTTGTACTCTCACAGCGACTCATCTATATGAACTACGCCTCTGTACAACGCTCCGATGGCTAGAAATAGATCACAACCACAGCATTCGACTGGGAAGAGTTGATCGTGCCGATCTCCCTCTTTGTACTCGGGATGTTTTAACCTTGCGTCCACCTCAAGAACAACCTCAACAATTTATCAATATTTCATAAATCCTCATAATTGCTGGAAAGAAAACGTTTAATATTTCATCCGCAAGGGCTGTTTTCCAGAGGGGGTGTGTACCTGTCGTCTCTGCTTCTCTCTGTTGCCATGGTTACATTAAGGGCTTCACTGTAGCTATGACACAGAAAGTAACTTAGTCCCACAGCTGCCTGCAGTGTCATGGGTATAGGTTTATTTTGAAAACAAAAAATGAATAAAGAACTGGAAGAACTGGGTTAGCAATATTCTTTGATGTCAACAGTAAAACTGAGGAAAATGCATTATTTCATTCTATAACTTCAACCTAATACCAAACAAAGTGTAGGAAAGAGATGGAGCATACTTTCAAATGACTGATGTCCACCTTTATTGTCTGAGCAGGTTAAGCTTCTAAATTTGGTTTTCCAAATGTAACCTTTCTCATAAGAGAGAATTATATAACTAGATGTTATATCTGACAGGATTAAAGCATTACCATAGTAAATCTATATTTAGATGAATTTACTGTGGTTTTTTCCTTGCTAATTTCAGTACCACACAAATTCATTGCTGTAACTTTCCTGCGCTGAAAATTAGTTTCCTTTCAGAACCGATTTTCTGGCTGGAAAAATTTCCACCATAGTTTTCCAGCTCAAAGCGGTCTGTCTCAAGGTTCCCATCCTCACAGAAAGGATAAGAAACTTTAAATTCACAATATAAAACGTTTATTATGAACATGAACTGTGGCGAGCATGTTCCCTTCTTCTGTGCGTGACCATCGAGAAGCCAAGACTGTCAGCAAAAATCACCGGGCAACGTTTAGCTTCAATGAAAGCGACTATTTTTACTTCAACTGTGACAGTTTGCAGTCAGCCCCATGAAGATCTCTGACTGCTGGTCAGCAGTCTGGTGGTTTCTCTCTGTTACAGTTCCTCTCAGGGTCAGTAACTATCAATACAGTTTTTGGTGGGTGGTGGTCTTGATCTTGTCTCTGTTTTTCTCCTCTGTTCAAGGAGGCAGAAAAACTTTCTGGCACAGAGGTTGCGGACTGAGTAGAGCGCTCAGACCACAGCTCATTGCACAACGTGCACCCTCTGTTATTTCCTACACGCAGCACTGACGCCAATAAGAGGCTGAGTTTTTTCAACTAGCTAAGTGATGTGCGCTCCCTGCTGTGCCACTTAACCCACTTGACCAAGGAAGCCAGGGTGGCGTGTAAAGATGGCAAAAGGCTTACTGGATAAAGGCAGGGCAATGGAGCATGAGTGTTGCGGTCACGACACACAGTGGGGTGGGACCTTCTCCTAGATTACACGCTCAGCTGACAGTCCAGACAGCACATATAACATCATTCTGTGTGAACCTTACCCAGATGTTTTCAGCATTTAAAATGATTTAGTAATTAAGCAGCTACAATCAATTAAATGTGACTTATGCAGCAGCTACATCGGATCACATCATTTAGATGAGTGGCTGATGCTCACCTGATCACAGATCAGTTCCCACTTCTTCTCATTGTCATACTGTCGCAAGAGCCGCGCTTTGTCTGGAGGAAGATTCATTGAGTTCTGAAAGAGAGAGAAAGGTCCCAGTTAATCAAAACGATGATCAATGTAATGAATAAATACCATCATTAATCCCAAACATAAAATCAAACTAAGAAACCTGTCATCATTGGTAAGATGCAAGCATCTATACACTATACTCTGCACCAACAACATCAGGGTGTCCGTGGCTCCCAAAGAGAGTAATTAAGAGATTGCAAGCTTAATGGACCTCTGACCTAACAGCTGGTTACGGGCTCTCTCGTTGCTAAACATAGCAATGAGCAGGCAACAGAAGAGTTACATTAGCCAAAGTGTGAGTGAGGATCATTAGGGAAAGGTCGCCAAAAATGTTTACATGTGCTCTTCCCTCCTGTTCATTTGGGATAATCCAGCTTCAGCCAGTTATCCCAGGGCAAGAAACGAAGGCGTAAGTACAGAAGTGAGTCTGAAGTAAAGGTGGATGCTCTGAACATCTTTCAGTATTTTGCTTTGAAACTTTTTTTTAAAGCTGTTCCTCTTTGATGAGGTTAAGCAAGTGATTTCCTGTGAAGAGCCTGTTGTTCAGTCACACCTAATGTGACCCATGTGTTGGCGAACACATTAAGACTGAAAATAAGCTTAGATCGTGCAAAAAAACACAACTCTTGCACAACTCTTTCTCTTTATCCGGTTTTACTTTATCGACATCTGCTTCATGTACGAACACCTCTGCAGCTGTCCAAAATGTTGCACTTTCCAGCATTATTCACCACACCCTCGTGTGGATTTAGAAAGGCTACAAACAATTATCTAGCGCTCCCAGTATGCTGCGCAAAGAACATGGAAACACAAGTGCGACCCAGCTGGATACTGGTTAACCAGCTATTCTTATAGAAATAAAACAGAAACACATTAAGAGCACAAAAATAGCATAGAGGTGTATAGCTAAACTGAGTGTTTCTGCAGCTTTCGGTCATAGAGAATACACAATAATACAGATGCACAATACAGCTGTGTGAGAGAGAGCCATTCAGCAAAGAGCAGGGGAAAAAATTAGAAAACATAACCATTAGAGTTGAGGTTGTTTTTCCCATCCACACTGGTTGGGCTGCATCATCTATCAGAGCGGGTACCGCACTCAGCTTCTACTTTTCCTTGTTCTAACGTTTGAGTCTAAGGTTTATTTATTAGCACCCGGCGGCTCTTTTTTACTTCTCATCCGTAAATAATCTGCTCTTTCACGTGATTCGGTTTATTTTGAAAAGTCTCAACAGGATCTTGAGCTTTATTGTGAAAGGTTTATGTGGAACACGCGATGGTGTTACCGTCGTTGTTGCTAACCACAACGCTTAAAAACAGGGGCTTGTCCGTCTGTAGTGTGGTTATATAAAATATAAGAGAAAGAGAGAACTTTAAGAAATGAATATAGCCACTACAGTGACCATCAAAACGATGAAAAAACATTGCCGTAAAGAGTTTATTTTGCGACACCACGAAACAAACAATAGCGTAAAATGAAACAACAGCCCTACTTGCACCACCTATTATTTTTTTTGTTTTGCCTCCTAGAAGACAGACTTCAGCCAGCAGTGTTGGGGATCTTCTGAAAACTGATGGAAATATGAACATAGAAAAGTATCCTCAGAGTCTGATCCACCAAGTATCATCATCTGGAAAGCTTTTGATTTTTCAGCCTAACATTGATCCCAAACAGTGTCAGTGCAGTGAAACCCCGCATGGATAGAACAAACACGGAGTCAAACACTATCAGCCGTGGATTGGCCTCCCCAAACCATGGACCTCAACATTACTGAAACAACCTGTAATCATCTTGGTGACAAATGGAACGAAAGGCAGCCAACATCCAAAGCTCTGAATGTCTTTTAAGAAGCCTGGAGAACTATTCCTGAAGATGACTTAAATAAATTACAAGAAAGCTTGTGTAAGATAGTTCAGGCAGTGTTGAAGAATAAATGTGGTCATACTAGATATTGACTTTCAAACTTGCTAGAATTGCACAAACTATTTTCTCTTATATACTGTTATACACTCTTATATAAATTGTTCACCCCTTTCTCATTTTCCTGGCAAAATAGTAAAAAAAATAGGGGTGGCTAATGGATATGGTAAAAACTCAGGTTGTAGCCTGTAGATATTTAACTAAAGGAAATTGAATTAGTATTCTGCCGAAGCTTTGAGTCGAATGATCGCTGCTGTGCTGACTGCAGGGAATTGGGAGTCATAAGGGTTCTATTGACTCATTCTGGCTGCTGACCAGATGACTAGGCTTTGTATCCATTCGTCTTCCCTAAACACATTAAAATACAATCTGACGCCTGAGCGGACGGTCACATTAAGTGACAGAAAACCACCAGCGGGTTTACTATGTTACACACAGAAGTGCTTTTACATTTTGGAGAGAGAAACCTGAAGGAGGGTAGACTTTTACTTCTAAACGTCTACCTTGTTTTGTTTGGAATTAAGAGTACCTTTGGCCTGGGTGCTTGTGTGGCTTGGGTGGTTTGCTGAGTCGCTGTGGGTGCACTGAACTGCTTGGTGAGGCTCCAACTAAAGCAAAAGACCACTTCTACCAGCCTTCATTTCATCCCACTGCTAATGAGCTGTGACAAGCACTCAGCTCACTGGGTTACCCCATGTCTACAACCACACTGGTATCTGTGCAACTGTGTTATTAATGGGGTGCAGCTGAGGAGGGCTGGGCAGCTTTTAACCAACACCTGATGGCAGACCACCCTGACGAATACGCACCTAAATTTAACTGGTTAGTAAAACAGTAAAGCATAACAGAAATTTGAGACACAGGCAAACACGCTAAAAGGATGCACTCATTCATGCTGAAAATTAATAATAATCTGATATAAAATGGTGGCAAAGCCATTTTAAGTATTGGTAAAGCAGATGCGTGCAACCAGTGCAGCTGCAAGGAAGTTTAAATCCTAAAAAAGCACAATGAAAGGGATTTAGTCAACAAGACAATCCTGTTGGGAGACCCTGACAAAGCATCGGAGACTCCCTCCAGACGGCAACAAAACGCAAGCGACAAGAGGGAGAAAAAAAAAATAGTGTAATTCACTGTGCTAGATGACCATCCCCTCTCAGTGAAATGTGGGGTTTCAATGCTCTCCAGCCTCCCTTCATGCTGCCAAAGTCACATTTCATCTCCAAAGCAGCTGTCCCACATCTGTACAGTTACTGAGTGAGTTCCTTTAGAAACAAAGCTGTAGCCTGAACATGAATCCAGGTCATTAATAACTGTCAGTACTGTGGAGACAACGAGCCAGTATGTCGTGCTAAACTATGCCATATTTACTCAGATACAGGGGGCCAATTTTAGTGTAGCTCAACTTTAACAGTTGCTACTAATAACTTTATGCCAATGTTTAACTCACATCAGAACTTATTAGAGCCCACGTATCCTATCATTATCCAGCTTAAGTCATAAAAGAAGTAAAAATAGACTGCTGGCTCAAAGCCCACCAACCACCACTACCTACCAGGAGGTCTGCTCAGGCACAGCCTTCACAGCACAGCTGGCTAGAAAAGCAAACACACAGCCCACATGAAGGACCTGCTTCAGTCAGTAATGCTGCTACAAGATCTAAACTATATTGACACAACTGGCTAACTAACTACTTGCTTTGGAACGTGTCTAAAATGTAGTGTTTTGCACCTTTAGGTGTGCAAACATACACACACACAAACAAAACACACATTTTTATTTCCATTTTCTTAAAACACCCTGCAGGTCTTCAAATGTGTCACAGAACAAACTAGGAGTAAAACATATACTGTGAAGTATACATAAAAATAGTTATAAACTTCATAACGTCTTTGATGGTAACTGCAGTTGAAACATAGATCTGGGATTAAGGAGAAGCACTTGAATTTTCTGTGACAGCCAACAAAAAAAATGATAAAGCACCAATTTTACATCAGATAGAATCCACAACCACATGTTCACATCATCACTCCACATGCTGCCTGCTGTGATCTCACATACCAAGCAATTTTGGCTTGAGCGAATGCAAACAAAAGAGCTCGATCCAACTAGGAAAATCAAGAAACCCTGGTATACCACCTATTAAAGAAAACATCCACTTTCAGAACATGCTCCACTGCGTTTACTTGTGTTTACTACACAGTAACATGAGACAGAACCTGACAAAAGTGTGCCGTACATCACCTCACTGTCACCAGCTCTCCTCTCAGATATCTTTCAGCGCAGTGATTGGTTTCTCCTTGAGGATTTGGGTTGCCATGAGTTGGTAGCAAACCCACGCTCCCCTCTTTCTTCCTCTGCGTCTACCTTCTCCCTGCTAACGCACCACAATCCAGAAGAACTTAATCTCTGTGTTCAAACCAACAGATGCGGCATAACTGTTTTGTCAGCATTAATGAAACTAATGACCTTAATAGAAGACCCGTCTTTCTGCTGTAAACAACCAATTTGCATCATTCAAAGCCACGTTCCGACCTCTAATCAATTGCTTTTCGCTAAAACGTCTCACTTGTCTTTTTAAATGAGCAGACTGATGCCACGCTGCGTGCCACAACAAGAAAACCTCACACTGCATCAGTTATTAAAAACTAGTCAGAGCAATAATCCTCAAATTGCTCAACGCTACGGAAATGACTGGATGCTGTACTGGTCTCTCCCAATGCTTGCTTCATCAAATGCTGGGGTGTTTTGTTTCTGAGGCATTTACAAATTTATATTGAGGTTAATGCTGCGCTTCAGGCTAGTGTGAGTTGTAAAACACCATCCCTATGAGTATTAATATGTGACGGCAAAACTGCATAATAAATGATTCACTTCACTTCTTGCTTTTCACGTTAACCTTCAGGGGAGCGGAGGAGCCCCGCAGCTCAGGCAGAATTGAAATCTGTCATATTCATAATGGAGTGTCAGAGATAAGAGCCTACTTAAAGGAGAAAGGAGCTGCACAGCCCCGAGGCGTGTGCTGTCCAAACCGAGCTGTCCTCCACTCATTAGCACAGCGTGGATCTGTAATCCCTGGCGT